AATTGTCCTTCCTTTCTTACGTATAAGAAAAATTTACTAAATGAACTTTACTTTACAAAAAATCACTCTACAAAGGAAATACATCCATTCAAGTCTTATTTCTACGATTTCACCAAAAAAAGGGAAACAACAAAATGTCGTCTGTTTGTCAGTTACTCTCCAAACAGAAAATGCTGCCAACCATGAAAAAATTGAACGTCAAGTTGATAAACACAAATCGCAAGACAAAAAAGAAATAAATTCCCTATTGGTCGACCCAAAAAAGGAAGTTTTGTCAACTTTCTCGTTTATTGTGAATTGTGATTCGCCACAAGCATCGCAGGAGCGAAAATTCAAAAGACAAAAAATGTGGACCAAAAAAATAATTTCTTTTATAAAAGTAAAATTAACTCCTTCCATTAATATTAACTTTTTAGAGTAAAATTATTATTATAATTTGTTTTTATTATAAATAATAATAAAATGATTTTTTTTTATTTAAAATAATAATAAAATTATTTTTTTCACCTTTAACAATAATAAAATTATTTTTTTTTCATTTAAAATAATAATAAAATTATTTTTTTTTCATTTAAAATAATTTAGTAAAATTTGCTCCCTAATGGACACAGAAGGTTAATTGAAGTTTTTCTTTTTCATTCTTGCCAAAAAGTTTTTGAACTTAAAAAGGGATTATTATTTCAATAAAGCACTTCAAGTTAGTATATCAATTCTCGAATTTGATTTTAACTCCATTCTAAGTAACTTTGATAAAGTTGATGATGAAATTACAGAATTAGTTTCAAAGCCAAGAGAGAAATCTATAGAGTTCAATATGGCTAACAGACAAATTTTACATTGATTTCAGACAGACAGTTTCCTGTTAAATATAATATACAATAGTTACAAACAATGATTGATATGGCAAAATTTATATACAACGAGAAGTTAAAATTAATATATTTTTATAAACTTTTTTTTATTTATTATTATCTACAAAAAAAAGAAATAATTCTTCCTATTAGCCGATCCAAAAAAAGGAAGTTTTTTCAACTTTATAATAGTGATAAAAATTAAGGTAATAATAATAATAAAAATAAAAAAAATTTGAGGTTATGTTTGTAATTTTATAGGGTAAGATATTCATTTATAATATTATTGTACTATTGCATTCAGTGCTGCCAAATAATGCACAAGAATTTCCCTAGGGTGGCCATTGGGTCCTCTACCCTAAATAAAAATACACAAATAAGATCAAATTTCAATATAAACGAATGTTTTTTTATGTCTATACGTATTTAAAATAATTAATAAAAACATATTTTTTTAATTATTAAAAATAGTTTTTGTAATAATTTTTTCTAACAAATTTTTGTAAATTTTTGTAAATTTTTTAAAGATATTATTCTGTTTGATTATAATAATAAAATTGAGAATATTACAAACAGTTTTTATTGCAACGTTAACTGTTAATTTAGTAATGTTAATAAAACAAGAGGTAATGACCGTTTATTTGCAGCAATATTATTTTATTAATACTTTAAATGTTCAACAGGGTTTGTAAAATTCAAAATGCTCAAACCACTCTACTGAGTATAAATAAATCTCTATTATAGTATACATAAATGTACCAAAAGACTTTTGTTTGAATTGAAAAATTGAATAAAAAAAAATAATAATTAATAAATAAATTTTATAATTGAAATTTAAAAATTAATATCTTAAATCCCCTTTTTAAAAATGAATTTTTTATTGAAATGAATTTTTATTTCAATATTTGAAAAAATTTTACCATTTCCTACCATTTTTTTTAATAGAGGAAATTTTTTTTTAAAATTCTGATGAAAATAAAAAGATGAAACGTAAACAATTTTTATTCAAATTTTTGAGATATAAATGCCATAGAGTGCATTAGGCTATTATTAATGAGAAAAATGTTTATGCTCCATTAATATTTTATAAGTGTGATGCTTGTCCTTTTTTTTTCATGATGAATAATCGGTTCATGTATCTTGATTCATATTCTGATTCAAAATTTGATTGATATGAAACTCTATATCTGTATCATTTTCCCTATACCGAGATAAAATCCACATAGCTCCAAAGGCTTTGAAATCCATCACTTGGAAACTTTATCGTGTTCATAAACTACGTCATTTACAGATATCATCTTTCGTTTTCAAGTTGATATCGTCGTCGTTTGTCGTCTTTGTAAACTTTGGTCAATTTCATTTTTGTTTTTAGCAAAATAAATATAAAAAAAAGAAGAAGAAGAAGAAAAAACTTATCGGATGGATAGTTTTTTCAATTTTTTTCATTACAGTTAAAAAAACAAATTTTCTCCAATCTTCTCACAAATTCGCGTATTTTAAAAAATTGTTAAGTTCTTTAAACTTCTAAGAAAAGATTGTTTTTTTATTTTTCAATTTTGTTCATCGAATTTTTTTTTATTCTTACTCAGCTGTTTTTCAAAATTATTTCCCAGAGTTTTCAAAGGAAATGAGTAATTTTTTTTAGAATTTAAAAAAAAATTCGAAAGTATACCTCTTATTTGGAAATTGGAATTTCAATGATGAATCAAAAGTTTAAAATTCAAATATTGAAAGGATTTTTAAATTTTTTTTTTAAATTTTACATAGTTCAAAACTAGAGGGAAAAAATACTTTTTTGCAGCTGTTTTTCGAAAAATTTCAAAGAACTTGAAAAGCAAATTGAAAGTGAAGTACGAAAATTTATATGCGGGAGAATTTTCTGAAATGTCTGAATAAATAGATTTTGAAAATTTTTCACATTTTCTACCAAAGAATTGCAATAAAATAACAAGTTTTTCAAATATTTACGGAAAATTTATGTAAAAATAAAGGAAAAATTGATTATTCTAATAGAAATAGATGTTTTAAATTTTTACTTTGGTGCAAATGTTTCTGGAATTTTTAACTCAAGATTCTTCAAAAGAAAGAAAAACAGAAAATTTTCTCAAATTTTCAAGAAAGAAAAAAACTTTCTTAAAATAGAAATGAAACCGATTCGAAAAACAAAGACTTAAATTTTCTGAATTTTTTTATCCATTCTTAACTTTTGCGAATGATTCTAAATTTTTTACTAGATGTAAGTAAAACATAATAAGAATGTATTCTCAAAGTTTCAGAAAAATTAAAAAAAAACAGTCGATTTTACAAGCAAAACTATTTTTTAGTGTTTTTAAATATTTTTAACCGAATGTTTGATGATGAATTTAAGCTTCTTAACAACCGGGAAAATGTTTAAATTTTTCGGTGTTGTTACAGTGTAAATAGAGAAATATTTTCTCAAAGTTTTAAGAAAGAAGAAACTTTTAAAAATATAAAAAAACAATTCGATAAAACGAAGACTTGATTTTATGGAATTTTTCTCCATTATTAGCTTTAGCGATTGATTCTGAATTTTTTGCTAAATTTAAATAAAATATAGAGGAATGTTCTTTTTAAGTTTCAGGAAAATTGAAAGAAAACAATCGAATCTAAAAACAAACTCAATTTTTAATGTTTTTAAATTTTTTACCGAATGTTTGAAAATGATTTTAAGCTTCTTAACAACCGGGAAAATGTTTAAATTTTTCGATGTTGTTACAGTGTACATAGAGAAATGTTTTCTCAAAGTTTTAAGATGGAAGAAACTTTTAAAAATATAAAAAACAATTCGATAAAACGAAGGCTTAAATTTTTCGGAATTTTTCTCACTATTAGCTTTTTGCGAATGATTCTGAATTTTTTGCTGAATTTTAATAAAACAGAGGAACCTTTTTTTAAAAATTTTAGGAAAATAAATAGAAAACAATCGATTTCGAAGAAAAAAACATTTTTTCGAGTGTTTTTAAATATTTTTAACCGAATGTTCGAAGATGAATTTCATCCTCTTAACGATTGGAAAAATTTCTAAATCTTTCTGTACTGTTTCAGTGTACATATAGAAAAGTTTTCTCCAAGTTTCAAGGAAGAAGAACTTTTTAAAATATAAAAAAAATATTTTTTGAATTTTTTCCACTAACAGCTTTTGCGAATGATTTTCAATTTTTTTGCTGAATTTAAATATGAGGAATGTTTTCTCAAAGTTTTAGAAAAATTAAAAGAAAGCAATCGATTTCGAAAACAATACCATGTTTTTTTGTTTTAAATATTTTTAACCGAATGTTTTATGATGAATTTCATCCTCTTAACGACTGGGAAAATTTCTAAATCTTTCGGTACTGTTCCAGTGTATATAGAGCAATGATTTTACAAAATTTCAAAACAAAGGAAAAATTCTATTCCAAATATTTTAATTTTTTTGAAAAATTAAAAATTTTCGAAAACATGTTGATAATTATATTGAAAGCATTTTTTTTTCACCACATGAAACTAGTGACACTAAAGAATAATTATAGTAAATTATGAGTAGGGGGGGGGGGGGCTAAAGAGAGAGGCCTTTCATCTTCAGGAAAATCGTTAATCCCTCATTGAAATTTGTCAATATAGAGGAATCACTTGAGCGGAAGATGTATTGCAGCTGTTTTCCAAGTGAGTTGTATGTAGTTCACCGGTATCTTCTTTAAGGAGTCTTGGCAATCGCAAGAGTGATTCATGGGTTATACGAGTGCTTGAGACTTGCAAAGCAGTAGTAAAGAAATTCGAGTGGAGTTTGCAGAACACCTTCACGAAAAGAGAAGAGAAGAGAAGAGAAAGAGGGAGAGAAAAAGAGAGTCTTGGTTGTTTGCCCACTTCTTTTTTTTTCATCCTCGCATTCGATCGACAGATCCGGATAAACGTCTCCACTTTCGATAAAAGAGAAAACCGATTCAAGTGCTTGATATGCATTATACAATATACCCCACAAGTATATACCATACCAGCTGACCCGGTGTGGTAATAACCTCTTTTCCTAATCCATTTCAAGAAAATCCTCGAGAGAATAATTTTTCGGTTACACTTTATTTGCCAATTCAACGATTCACCCTTAAATGAAAAAAAAAAAAAGTTCAATTCACGATTCACTAGGTTGCTTACCAGATATGCCCAAAAGTATCCAGAAAACGAGGCACAGAACGTAGTAGTTGATACAAGAGGATGTCCTCATGGTGATAATGTCGACCACGACGACGTATTGGACGAGGATGACATTTCAATAGAAAATTTTCAATTACACACCATTTCTTCCTTTCTCTTCTTTTAACTTAAAATAATCCATTTGATATTTATTCAATTGCACACTTTTGTTATTCTTTTTTTTTTCTTTTTAAACGGGACCTCGTGCATCCCGGAACATGTGCTCGCGATCACGTTCCGGCTTCTTAAACCGGTCACATAATCGCGCCTTGTTTTTTCTCCGTTTCCCTCTTCGTTGTTCGCTTTGACAAAATTCTCCTCTCCCCTTTTTTTCCCCCCAACTTGTCGAAAAATAGAGAGAATCTTCTTTTTTGAAACGAAAAAAGAAAAATAACGAGGGGGGAAAAAATTATTTAAAAAAAAATTTCACCCAACTTTTGTTTTTTTTTTTTTATTTTGAAGAGTATAATTCTTCTATTTTTTTTAACGGCAAAAATTTTCTTCTAGCGGAGCGTACTGATTTCGCGGCGAACGGGAACTTAATTGCTTGAGTCTCTCTCGCGAGCGTAACGAGATTTCAGGGGGAGTGCTCGGCGTCGCGACGACCCGGGCGAAGCTCTATGAACCCTGGTGCCGGGCTCCTGTGGCACTGTCCGCGCCCGCCCGGGATACGCGCAAGCGTCCTCCTACTTTACGATCAAACTCCTCTCAGTTTCTGTGCTTTCCCACCCTGCTTTCTATGTTTCTCTCTCTCTCTCTCTCTTTTTCTCCCTCTTTCTCTCTTATTTTTTGAAAGAGAGAAAGTAGAAGAGAGGGAGAGAGAGAGAGAGGAGAGATAAACTGTCTCTCACTCCTTTTGCTTAGTTTGCCTTCTCAGTCGCACCGTTGCTCCTATTATTTGTTTATCTCATGAATTAGTACTTTCAACTCCCGATTGATTGAACTCCGCACTTTATAAGACGTTTTTCAATCACTTGCGAAGGATGCCATACCGCCGCGCTATTCGTTTCTCACCTCCACTCTCACTGCAAATACAAAGACCATTGACTTCACCATTCTTCATCTTTTACCCTTTCATTTTGTATTATTGCAAAATTATAATTGCCAAGTCAATTCATCAACGTTTCAATGAGTATTTCAATTTAACTTCTTAAAGTTGAAAACAAAATATTGTATTTTCTTTATGGCGAAGATTATTTCATTCAAACTAAATTTATAAATACAAAGTCGTAAGTTTTCAAAATAATGATCTAGATTTATTTTGTAGAGTTCACAGTTTAAGGAGATAATACAATGTAACTAATTACCATAAGGTATAAAATAAACTTCGTGGTCACTTCTATTTTGCAAAAACTGCCAATAATGCACATTTTCCGCCATATTGGATCCGCCATTTTGAATTTTGCAAATCGGTCCTCATATTCGCAATCAGCGACCTCGAAAACCCCCGAAAAACGAGTTTTAATCGAATCCGCTCAATTTTTAAAAAATCTCCCGCCATATTGGATCCGCCATTTTGAATTTTGCAAATCGGTCCTCATATTCGTAATCAGCGACCTCGAAAACCCCCCGAGTAACGAGTTTTAATTGAATCCGCTCAATTTTTAAAAAATCTCCCGCCATATTGGATCCGCCATTTTGAATTTTGCAAATCGGACTTCATATTCGTAATCAGCGACCCCGAGAACCCCCGAGTAACTATTTTTTAAGCGAATCCGCTGAATTTTTAAAAATCTCCCGCCATTTTGGATCCGCCATTTCGAATTTTGCAAATCGGACTTCATATTCGTAATCAGCGACCTCGAAAACCCCCGAGAAACGAGTCTTAAGCGAATCCACTTAATTTTTAAAAATCCTTCCGCCATATTGGATCCGCCATTTTGAATTTTGCAAATCGGACTTTATATTCGTAATCAGCGACCCCGAGAACCCCCGAGTAACTATTTTTAAGCGAATCTGCTGAATTTTAAAAAAATCTCCCGCCATTTTGGATCCGCCATTTTGAATTTTGCAAATCGGACTTCATATTCGTAATCAGCGACCCCGAGAACCCCCAAGTAACTATTTTCAAGTCAATGCGTTGAATTTATAAAAAATCTTCCGCCATATTGGATCCGCCATTTTGAATTTTGCAAATCGGTCGTCGTATTCGTAATTTGGCACCTACGGGACATAATATGTCAAAATAACGAAAATTTTTCTAAGTGGGACATAATATATGTCCCACTTAGAAAAATTTATGTTATTCCCATAAAAGTCAACCAATTAATTCGCAGTAGATTTCTTTCTATTCCGAATGACCGCTGCTACAAATAAAAAAATAATAATTTACTGCGAACGATTATAATTATTATAAACAATTGGTAAAATATTTATAAGAAAATAGTGAAATCTAATTTTTCCAAATTTCAAATTTGCTTGAAACTTCTTACTCGAGGATTTTCGGGGTCGCTGATTACGAATCTAAAGTCAGATTTTAAAAATTAAATTTGAATATTACTTTGTTTAAAATTGAAATAATTTCTTTTTATGTTACTCGTATCATCGAAATACAAAATAGAATTATTTCCACAAAATTCTATTCAAATTATTCGCAACACTAATAGCATTTTTATTATTTAAATGGATGCGATGAAGAAGGTAAACGAAGAAGCAAATGATGAAAAGCTATTGACAAATTCAACATTCAAACAACTAATGTTTGCAGAATTTAATTCTCATTTTGTTTCAAAATGAATTTCAGAGAAAATGAGACTTCCAGACAAAGTGAATTCATCATGAAAATTTCATTTGTTTTCAATTATTCAAGAGAGACTGCAAAATTTCACATTTATAAATCTTAACCATTTATTAAATATACAAATAGATTATAAATTAAATATTCTTGTGTCAGAAAAGTGGCGATTTAAATTGCTTTCTTTTTTCTTAATTTCAAAGAATTAAAGATAATATTTAAAATAGCGTTTGATAATATAATATTTAACTTTGTGCCATGTACATTAAAACAAATTTTGTACAAACCAAAGTTCATTTACGTTTTACATAATAGAGTAGGTATAATTTATAATTTACAAGATAAACTCAAAAATTTTTTAAAAAAACTTTTAATTTGTATTTTTTTCTTCTCTCTTTTTTTTAGAAAATAGTGACTAATAGTACATGTGATTCTATAGTGTAAATAAACACACGTTTAACTGGTTGGATCCAATTTGAATTTTATACTGGTCTGTTGTGATTCTTCTATACCAACAAAACTGACTAGTAAAAAAAAAAAGAGTTGGTTTTAACATTTTATCGAATTTATTTCATTTATTGGACAAATAAAAATCACTGCAGTTTGTATTAAAAATTCGTATTTTTTATTATTTTATAATTGCTTACATGCGGTGTATATGAAATATTTATTTCAGTTATGATATTTTTATTTTTTACCTCTGAAATGGGGAATGTGGAATTGCGTTGAAATTGATTTAAATAAAATTAAATGTTATATTTTTATGAAGAAAAAATTATAAAAATGTACGAGTTTTTCATGTATAATTAAAATTAGTTCAATTAAAAATAAATTTGCTAAAATAGTGATTGAAATGTTTTTATTACAAATAAATTTGAGAATTAGATTGTTCCATCTTCCATCCTGAATAATGTTTGTTGACTAGCACAAATATATTGTCGCCTAACAATGGTCTAACATCAGTATAGTATTTTGTCCTGATCTTCACGTGCAGTGTTTTAAAAGTTCATCTTGAAATTCATCAAATTTTGCTGTTTGAAAATATTGTCATTTCCTTGTAAAAAGAAGTATTAGCGAACAAAACCATTGTACATCAACGACACGAGTTAGGACTACCATCCTAACGACCACTAGACTCAGAAATTAGAAATTATTATTAATTATTAATTAAAATTAATTCGGGAAAAGACTAGGGAATATAATAGTTAAGTTCGACGTAACAACATTGTCTCAGTCTCAACTGAAATAAAATTAAAAGTTTCATTATTAATTACTAATTAATTCTTTGCAACAATCAATTGAAACTAACTAAAATTACATTCATAAGATTTTCCCCAGTAAAATTTACGAAAGTTAAATAAATTCTTCAGCAAGTAGAAAAAAAAGTACCTTATTCATACAATATCAGTTTCTCCTCTCCAGCAGCAAAACTTTACTCCCATACACATTTTGCCATCTCAGTTTCCTTCCAATTCTTGATTAATAATCATGGCAACTATTGATCCGTCTATGAATAAAAGTGGGATGTGTATCAGATCGTGAAGAATTTCATTTTCATCTATTCAACTCTCAAGCAACTTTCAAGTTGCTACATTTTCATTATTGTAGAAACTGATCTCAATTCCTCGTCTTATTATTGACTTAATGGCTCAAATATATCGAATAATTTTATAATTACACATCTGATTCATCATTTTTTTTTCTTTAGCCCCCCCGCAAAAGTTTTCATATAATGATAATAATAGGCCTTAAATACGGATTAAGTGAAAGATATAAAATGATTATTCGACAAAAAAATAAAGCGCTTACTCACAATTTATACATGGTAGATAGTTTTAAAAAATGCAGAACATGCGAAGCTATCTGTTGCTGTTGAATTGGTATAGCGGAATAAATGCTTTCAGTGCATTCGCTTTTGAATTAGTTATTTCCATAAAACAACGGAAGAAACTAGCTTAACTGAAAAAAAAAATTTTCTTTTTCAAATGCGTAAAAGTATAAAATTGCAAATTGAAAATGTGTCAGTGAGTAAAAAAATCAAATATTTTATATATGTCAAATAGTGGGGATGGTTAAAAAAAACCAGATTTTTAAAAAATATATATACAATACCCTCGCGAATGAGATGATTCTTTTATATTGATGACTGTACTCGTCGTAAAGAAAGCAATAATAAAATATAAATCTTTTTATCCAATCAAGAGACAGTTTATTTTTAAGAGTGCAGTGGAAAACATTATTCTTTTCAGAGAGTGACCCTTGAGAATTCGCAAACTCTCAGTTCTGTCAAAAACAAAAGTTATTGCGAATGTTCTGTTATCTGGGGACACACTGTATATATATTCTTTTTGGTTTACCATCTGACTACTTCTACATCCAGTAGTTTATTTTTTTTTTTGCAACCTCTCATGATTTGTACTTTTTTTCTAAATTTTTTTTTTCTAACCAATTTTATTTGCTCATTTTATAAATTCCTAGATATACTGTGTTAGACAAGAAAAATCGATTTTCACGTACAAGGATCACAATCATATCATTTGCGGAGTCTTTATTTCTTTCTCTTTAGAATACATCCTCGAGAAAAATTTCTTAATTCAACAAATAAGAAACATGAAATTTTCTAAAACTTGCCTTACTTACGGTTTCTTTAAGAGTATCTAAATGTCAACAACAGGCTCCTCAATTTTTAAACCTCTCATTTAGTTGATGGGATACTTTGGAAAAAGAAGCAATTTTCCGAAAATCGATTTTTCTTTAAAGATAAAATTCGATTGTACGATACTTAAGGTAAATGAGAATTTTTGACGAATGCAATTCTAAAGAAATCCTTTCATTCAAAATTTAAAGGAGTTTAGAAACAAATTTTTTTATCAATCTGTAATGTATGGAATTTTAAAATGTAAAAATAATGTTCATATTTCTCGAAATTTTTTTAAAACTTTATTTTCAATCGTTTTTTGTCAATTATAGAATGACAGTTTGACTTGAAGGAAAATGTCAATTGACATGG